GGAAGGTTTGCATAGGGCGAGGTAATGTCTCTCGGAGTTGTTCCGTTAGGATCATCTCCTGTAAATCTTCAAAAGAAGAGGAGTATCCAGACATTTCCCTCCACCTGGTCAAATATCCCTGAAGGCGACTGGCGAACTGAGGATAGTTCTCCCCTGTCATCTTTCTCTCATTTCTGAACTTCTGTCTGTATGTCGCAGCATTAAGTTCGAAACGTTTCAGTAAAGCCTGACACAATGCATCATAATCAGTCTCAGTACCGGTGGGCATCCGTTGATAAATCTCGTATGCCTCACCCCTCAAACCTTGAGCCAACTTCAGCGTGTACATGTTCCTTTCCAAGTTGTACAAAGATGCCAATTTGCCAAATCGGTCTAGGTACTGTTCAATATTTTCAGCCTTCGGGTCGAAGACTGGCATAGGAAAGTTCATCGCTTGAGCTGAGCTACTGTGCATTGATGCACCATTCAATATCAGGTGTTGGAGATCTGGGTCTATTACCCTCTCTCTGTGCCTGAAGTTCCAATTCTCTTAACCTCACCTCCTGTTCCAACTTCATTCTTTCTGACTCCCTCTCAGACTCAATTCGGAGTCTCTCAGATTCCATTCGGAGTCTCTCCTCTCAGATTCAATCCTGAGTCTTCGAGTTCTTGACCCTCTCAGATTCTATTCGGAGTCTTTCGCTTTCTTCAATTCTCTCTCTCATTTCTGAGTCTGAGTCTCTCAGCCTCACGGGCTTCCATCCTCATCTCACGTTCCGTGGTTTTAATCCACTCGGTCATTTCTTTACCCTCCAATCCCATCTGGACAGCCATGTCCTTCAATTCCTGTATGGAAATTTTTGACTGCGACATGCTGTCTTGTCAATCTAACAGTCCACAACAAAATATATTGTCACCAACAATGTAATTATAATCAACAATAGATTAAATTATCTCCCACCAACCAAGGTTGTACCTAACCCAATGTACTTAGACACCACAAAACACCACAATGATTACAAATCACTCCTAGGAGTATACTCTAAGAACTGACCCAGAATGGTCACAACTGTGTTAACAAAAAAAAAAACACTGAACAACTCCTGGCCAAGATCACCAGCAAATTTAAAGATTGAACAGTGTACAAAACAATCCCACGACGAGACCACAGATTTTTGGGGATATGTTGTTCTGTCACATATCACTCCTGTCGCGTGCCTAATGTAAGGATTTCTCCTTCAGAACCAGCAGCACTCAGAGATAATTATGTTGAGTCGTTTGGCTCGTATTGGTCTAAGGGATTCCCCGTGGCCAATATACGATCAACTTATCTCTGGAGTAGGGCAACTCAAGTATTGGCACTACAAAATATGTCAGTATATATATATATATATATTTCTAGGCACACTTGGCTGGACACCCCCACTACTTACTAAAGAAAGCCCCCAGGTTATGATAGTTTCATTATCATAACCATGTTAACACATATAATGAAGATACACATACATACACAACTGCTAAACACTTAAAAAGGTGAAATAGAGACACCTAAGTCAGCCATGAAAATGAATGTATGTAATCAATATAAATTAGATATATAAAAGTGAGACAAATGCCAGATCTCAGGATATCATGTCCAAATCACAAAGATACTACACAGACAGAAGGTCTTGAGATGACATCTTTTCATCACTGGACACAAGGAGCTGTGAGGAACACAACATCATGCGAAGCATTAGACTTATCTTCTCTTCTCTCTGTCTATGATGCCTCCCTCAGCTCCGGATGATTCGACTGTCTTTGACTCTGGGAATTCTGCTCCACTGGATCAAGTAGTAAGAGTACTTCACTATACAGCAACTGTACCGGTATTTAGTAAGTCTCTATCACCAGTAAGGACACACAATGTCTTTGAGCCACATTAAGCTCTAGCACTGGTAGCTGTTTGAGGCACAATCTCCCACATTTTGGAGATGTCAGGAACCTTCACAGGTGTTAGCTGGTGGGTAACAAGTTGTTTCTGGTGGTTTGATAGTTGGTGGATGTTGGTGAGACTGTGAATCTTCTGCCAGCTCTTCAGAAAATATACATCCTGTCAAGAAAATAACTCAACATTAGTCATCATCAAGAGGGTAACATCTTGACAGGAAAGACAGAGCAAGCATCAGTCATCAACCCCCATCTGCTGACTCCTCCCTGCTCTCCTGTTTCATTCCTCAGATTGCCTCTCCAGACCAAAAGACATAAGTCTCCTATATTTATCTGTCTGTTTAGTGCAAGAGAAGGCAAGTCAGATATACAGTGGAGATAGATAAAGTGGTCTAACACATATATCACTCTCCCTATCCCCCTCACTCTGCACACAAACACCAATATTTACCGTCAGTACCTGCATTCCCTAGCTTTCCCAACCGCCCCAGCACTCATTGATCTGGGTCAAACACACACATACTTTGATTAACACAGCCCTGACCCAATTCTGTCCCCATTTCGTATGTACAGATTCTGTAAGTAGTGTAAAACGTACACAATTGTAAGGGCATTAAATGTTTATCAGTATGGGTGGTTTATTGAGGGCATAAGCTATTTAGTCTGTACAGTGGAAGATCTACGTTCGAATCCGCTTCTCTAGCGATCAAGAACGGTCGAACTAAGTGAAATCACACAGCCGATACGGATTTCTCTACAGCAGTGACTACTTTACAGACATCATTCTAGGTACTCGTAAACTATAATTAACTTACCCAAGCATATGTAAAAACTGAGACATTTCCAGATTGCCTTGAAAAGTGAAAGTTATACAGGCACAGATTAACACATCTGGATGCTTGAGAAGCTGGCAAGGACTGAATTCAAATATTTAAGTCCTGCCATATCCTTTCTTAAACACATCCAGCATGTTGACCAGTGGCTTCCTTCTCCTCCTCTTCTTCTTGATTATCTTTTTCTTCATCTTCTTCCTCTTCCTTCAGTTACTTTATCACAGGGAAGTGTAAGGATCTTCTGTGAGCTTTTTCCATAGCATATAAATTGATCTTAGTTTCCTTAAGGTTGTTCTTGATGTCTTCCACTCCTGCATAGGACTTTACTGTCATAGCAGACGATGTTCCTAAAACCAGCATCACAGCTCTATGGCCCCTAGGGACTGACAGTTTTCTATAAAGCATGTGAGAAAGAAATGATGCAACAAAGGGAAAATTTTCTATATAGCATGTGAGACAGAGAAAAATGATGCAACAAAGGGAACATTTTCTATAAAGCATGTGAGACAGAGAGAAATTGCTACAAAGGGAAAATTTTCTATATAGCATGTTAGATGGAGAGAAATGATGCAATAAAGGGAACATATTTTATATAGCATGTGAGACAGAGAGAAATTGCAACAAAGGGAAAATTTTCTATATAGTATGTGAGACAGAGAGAAATTGCAACAAAGGGAACATTTTCTATATAGCATGTGAGATGGAGAGAAATGATGCAACAAAGGGAACCTTTTCTATATAGCATGTGAGACAGAGAGAAATGATACAACAAAGGGAACATTTCCTATATAGCATGTGAGACAGAGATAAATGATGCAACAAAGGGAACATTTCCTATATAGCATGTGGGACAGAGAGAAATGATGCAATAAAGGGAACATTTTTTATATATAGCATGTGAGACGGAGAGAAATGATGCAACATAGGGACAGTTTTCTATTTAGCATGTGAGATGGAGAGAAATGATGCAACAAAGGGAACATTTTCTATAAAGCATGTGAGACAGAGAGAAATTGCTACAAAGGGAAAATTTTCTATATAGCATGTTAGATGGAGAGAAATGATGCAATAAAGGGAACATATTTTATATAGCATGTGAGACAGAGAGAAATTGCAACAAAGGGAAAATTTTCTATATAGTATGTGAGACAGAGAGAAATTGCAACAAAGGGAACATTTTCTATATAGCATGTGAGATGGAGAGAAATGATGCAACAAAGGGAACCTTTTCTATATAGCATGTGAGACAGAGAGAAATGATACAACAAAGGGAACATTTCCTATATAGCATGTGAGACAGAGATAAATGATGCAACAAAGGGAACATTTCCTATATAGCATGTGGGACAGAGAGAAATGATGCAATAAAGGGAACATTTTTTATATATAGCATGTGAGACGGAGAGAAATGATGCAACATAGGGACAGTTTTCTATTTAGCATGTGAGATGGAGAGAAATGATGCAACAAAGGGAACATTTTTTATATATAGCATGTGAGATGGAGAGAAATGATGCAACAAAGGGAACATTTTCTATATAGCATGTGAGACAGTGAGAAATGATACAACAAAGGGACAGTTTTCTATATAGCATGTGAGACAGTGAGAAATGATACAACAAAGGGAACATTTTCTATATAGCATGTGAGATGGAGAGAAATGATGCAACAAAGGGGAACTTTTCTATATAGCATGTGAGACAGAGAGAAATGATTCAACAAAGGGGAAGAGATGCAGAAGAAAATGTAGAAAGGAAAAAGTCAAAATTAATTAACGTAACTGTGTGCATGTTTCTTTTTTCACTGTATTTGACCTTCCTAATCATAGTTCTGTGAATGTATGTTTTGTTTTTCTTAGTCACCATCCCCCCCCCCCCCCCCCCCCCCCTAGAAAAATAGATTATTTTCCTAAATTCAAAATGATAGGTTCAAACTCTGACAAGACAGTATTCTTAGAACAGTGTTTTTACAAGAACTTGATAACATACTTGAACATGATCTCTGGGCAGTGAAACAAATGAACCAACAAACATATGCCAAGTTCACTAAGTAAGTTTAGTCATACTGGGTGTATGATGGTTAACCCATATTTTATAGGCCAAATGGCTTTCGGTGGGTCAAAATCCCACTGGCTGCTTTTACTTTCCAGGACTGTTCCTGATAACCATTCTAGCTAGGTCAAATTGGGAGCCAAAGTCAGTTTTGACACAAATCTGGCTCAATGCGAATTTCAACCCATGACCTTTGACCAGCAGGCAGGTATATAACAGCTCACTAAGAGAAGGGCAAAAAAAAAGAGGTCCTAAGACCTCCATTTATTTGATACTTTGAAACTATAAGAGAGTTGATCTTACATATCACTACTGTGGCAAAAATCAATCTCCCCCTCCCCCAACAAAAAAATTGCCTTTATTGCCTGAAGATTTAAGGCCACATGGTTAGTGCAGTTGCCACAGACTGTGTAGATTAATATTTTATTTTTTGCCCTTTCTACAGAAAAAACCCACAACCTAACTGGGAATTCAAACCTTGCTCTCCCACATGATAGCTCAGCATGCTTAATTAACCATTTGGCAAACTGCTCTTCTACTAGAAAATACTGAGGGAGGTAAAGCAGAGACCATAATGTTGCCCACATCAACCCTTGCATGCCATGTGAGCATGAAACTTTGGCCTGACAGTATATCTAAAGTACCCCAAACTGACATGGACAGTTAGTGTTTACCTTTCATGTGATGTCTATAGATAAGGTAAGGGCTGGAATTCTTTTCACTTGGACTTGGATTTCTACTAATTCCCCCTGCTTTCTTGGGAGTGAGATCAGACTCCCGTGTGCATTGTTGTGCACGTAAAAAAATCCCTTGGCAGTTGAAAATCGAAAAGAGTAGCCTAACGGCATGGCCAGGGAAAAAATCTACCCAAAGTATTTCAGGATCCTCACTGTAATGTCTCTTTAAACTGAGCTGAGCTTCTTCAGACTCAGACTTGAGTTAGAAGAAGAACGGAGCACTTATAGGTTACTACCAGTGTGCCATGATGTTGATCTGTTGTTCAGAACTCAAACCTGTCTATCAGTATCTTGTGGCTTATTGTTTATATTCTCTTATTTTAGGCATGAAATAAAATCAGGTGACAAAACATCAGAGTCAGAATCTGACTTGAGCAAATCTTGGTCTCCTACAAGACTCCCTGATTCATCTGACCTCTCACCATATAAAGGTAAGGTTAGTTGTGTATCCTTTACAGGACGTTGCGGAACCAACCCTAACAGCCCCTGGCTGTTGTGTGGTTTTTCTAGGCAAATTTACATCCAGTAGTTTGCCATTCATAAAGATAAGACTTTTGAGAAATAAGTGGTAGTCTATTTTTAGTTTTGCTAAACTTAAGAGTAATTTTCCCTCTCACTCAGTATAACTTGTTTTAGCACACATGTCCTCAGATAAATTAACAGATGTGACTTAAAACTAACATCTCACTGTGTGGGTGCCAGGGCTCTGTTTTGAGGCAGAAAAAAAGAAAAGAATAGACCCTCTGCCTCCCTAAGAAGCATGTGGTAGTAAATGGTGACTGATACGGGGTATTTCCTTAGAGAATGATGCACCTGGGGGTGACCATAGGGTTTGGCCCGCACATTACGCTCAGAGGAAAGGCAAGACGTACATACAACCAGACTATTACCGGCACCATTAGTACTGGAACTCTGCACTGGCTGCTGAGGAAGGGGACGAGCGCATATGGGAATGCCCTGAGGGCTGTGATGTCACTTCTTGACTTAACTCAAATCGGGGTATTACCTTTGAAGTCAGAGTGCATCTGCCAGAGAGGCATGAACTGACAGTCTGCATACAAATAAGCCAGATCTGTAAAATGGATGTGCATGCAAGTTCTGGAACAAGACCAAAGTCCAGAATTGGATAACAAACAGGACTCCATCAGAGTTTACAGCCAGTGAATGTTAAGAAGAAGGAGAAAATTTAAACCAGCTCTTATTCTTTCCATTTTCTTCTTGTTAGCTGCGGCCCTATATCACTTGTTTTGTATGTTTGTTTTTTGTTATTATCTACTTTGCTTTGCATGCATCCTAAGATTGATATGGCAGGTAGTTTTTCCCTTGATTGTATGTATAATAAAATTTCAGAACGACGACCAAGGTCCAGCTCACTCACACAGACCTACAAACTGTCGTCAAGTGACACTTCCTTCAGCACCAGTTTTCTCTCCAAGGGAAAGTACTCTGATAACTCCACTTTTAACAGTTCACAGAAAGCAGCAAAACGTAAGACAGAATGTGTGTTCTTTTCTGTTTCAGTGCTATGATAAACAAAATGGCACAACTGATTGGAACTTATTGATTTAGAGGAAAGAAATAAGAGATTGGGGTACAAGTCACGTGTCAGTTTCTTTATCATGCTGTTTCAGTAACCTCAGGGGTTCCCCCAGCTATTTTTTTTTTCCAGTGGTAATTACAAATCCTAGCAGAAAGTAGACCACATCACAAACAAGAGCTGATTGCTTTACAAGTCTAGCCTCATATCCTGGTTCTGCCAGTGACATATACAAGAATCCTTTATTTCACTGTTTACCTTACTAGCTATTTGACCATGAGATGCGTTTCTAGTATCAGACTGTTTGTGTTGGCACTTCTAACAGCTGCCTTATGCATTTAATCCAAGTGTATGCTATTGGCTTTGCCGAGTCTGCAGGTGGTGCCAATTTTTGTCACACCTCCTGGGATCCTTGGAAAAAATAGAAACACTCATGCAACAGAGTGAAATATAATCTAAAACCTTCAGAGCATGCAACAAATGGCTTAACCAATTTATCATGGATCCCTGAATTTGAAAATAATTTGTTTTTGGTCTTCGCATTCAAGGGCTGTAAACTCCAGCTGAAATTCCTTGTTGTTCATCCATGTCTGGACTGGCATTGTTCCAGGACTTGACCTTGTTGCGTGCACATTCATTTGACAGATCTGGCTTATATGTGTGCAGACTTTTGGTTCCTTGCCTCTCAGGAAAATACAGTCTGAGTCTGACTTTAAAGGAGATGTGAATCCTATCTGTATTGGCCAGGCTCCCCAATGGTAAACTGTGTCTGGGATGACCGTGGAGAGGTGTAGGTCCTTGACCAGTATGAGCCCTGGTCGTGGTGCACCATCACTTGTGATTCAGCACCTCTGCATCCTGGATAAAAACTGACTGTTATAATTTAAAGGTCCATTTTTTCTTTTTTTACACCAGTGATGCATCAGGCAGGAGTGAGTGATATTTAACTCCTCTAGGACCTCACAACAAGCAGTTAACACTCAGTGATACAAAATGCCATCATTCGGATGGGAACCCCCCAGGCGCAAGTCCCAGAAACCCCATTCAACCATTAAGTTATATTAGGACCCCCGACAACGCTTACAAAGTAACCTGAGGTTTAGTGGGGTGGGGCATTAACATTGGAAAAAAAAAAGGTAAAAATAATGTTGCTGTCCCTATTTACACAGTGTTACATACTAGCTCACTTATGATTAGTCCACCTTCAGCCTAGCTCACTTCTGATTGGTCGACTTTGAGCCATGTGACCTTGGCACAAGGTGACGGGGGTGTTCCGCAATGCCGTTGATATAATGTGTTCTATATTTCAGCATGCAAGCACTTTTAACACTTCAAAAACATTGACAAACTGGGTCTAACACAAAACCCCTTTAGAGACTGATGAAAACTATGTCACAGGCATTCTCTTTTTCAGAATAAAAATGTAAATGCAACCCAGAAAGCAAACAACAGAGCAGCACACCCGTAACGTCCAGCACAGTAAACCAGTCCAAAGAAGTTATCAGTGGAACTTGACCTACTTTGTTTGGGAAGACTAAGTTTGTTTGATTAACAATATTTTTTTTTTAAATTGTGTCCCATGTCGGGACAGGTTCTGAGCATTAGGCATAAAGTGCTAGACTTATATTTTTAAGGCCAGTCAACTAAATTTAGCAGTAAAATAAATCTCAAAGAGAAAACAAAAGCTTCCATCAAATATAGAAACATTTTGTCATTTAAGAGTTAATATCCCTTATTACTTTTACCCCTAACAGGTTCCAGCAGCATGGTGAGTGTACTGCCGGACACACAAGAACTGTGCCGGAGATTGGAGGAGAAAATAGATGGCCTCACACGCATGGGAGGTAATTTGGTGAAGGAGAATCAAGGTAAGTAGTTATTACCATTCAACACTGTTTTATTAATGTTTTTATTATTCTCCTTATCTAGGATTAGGCACCTCTTGTCTAGGATTAGGCACCTTGATTAGGCTTCCGCACCTCCTGCAGCTTTGCTCGTGAGTCCCAGCCATCTAGTTTAGCCCCAATCCACGCCACATAAGCCACGTGGGGGATACTCTCGGCGGTGGCAGTAGTCGCCGGAAGTCCGCAAATTAAGCCGCCGGAAGTTCGCAATTTACATGTGACTGAGGCCCTGTTTTTGGCCGCCATAAAATGTGCCCGTTATTCAGAGGATAGACCCTACTACTAACACCGATAATAGTCCACAGCCAACCACATCATCAAAAAAAGTAAAACAAAAACCTGCCTAAATATGAATTTGAGCCCTAGACCTTTGGTGTAGTATCTAGATGCTACACTCCCGCCTTTAGCACTGTGTTATCTGTCCAAGATGCTTTTAAAGTAGAAACCCAATCTGGCACAATAATCACAATGAAAATAGCATCATTGCATGACTTTTCAAAGTTAGAGCATATACTGAGCTTCATTAAAAAAATTGTGTCCAGATTCCTTTTGCATACCCAGACCAAACGTTTAAAAAAAATTAACACATCATGTCTTGCGTTGATACACATAGACATAAACTAAGCACACACAGTGTGTTTGCTTGGAATAGCAAGAGTTAATTCTTTAACCGGTTTATTTCAGAAATGGCTGAGCTGATCAGTGTCCAGGGAGAGAAACTAAGTGCGGTCAAACAGACTGGGAGGAAAGCTTGGGAGAAGTAACATTTTTATCAAGGATAGGATGTTCTTGTTTTGATAGGTGTTTCAACTCTTGACGGTTCCTTCCCATTTTCATGATTGTGGTTACTGTCTGCAGCAGGATTTTTAAAGTGGGCTATTTATGTGTGGCATGTACAAGGTTTGATGACTGGTCAGCTATTTTTATTTTGCAGAACAGTTGGAAAACACATAGTCCAGATTAGTTTTGCAGAATTACAGTTGCAGTAAACAAAGAGGATGATAGACTGTGTGCTACTGCATCATTTCTTCACGGTCCTATAACATCTTGTAACATTGGGTCACCAGTTGCTGTTGACTACATCCATCTCGGTCAGTCTGATGCAGTGCATTTGATTTTTGCATGTTTAAGGCATGTCCATTCAAATCAAATTCTGTATCCGTTTCTTTCTTTGGCTCTTGTCCTTTACAGAGCCCTGGAGAGTCCAATAGATCTTGAATAAAAAAAATAATAATAATACTCAGTACCAAGGACAAACTATATGGGACTTTGAATCAGGTTGCCTCTACTAACATTGGAACTCTGTTGGCTGCTGAAGAAGGGTTGAAGCATTTACGGGAATGGCATGAGTATACAGTGATGACAATCCTTTATGCTTGTTATTTATTTATCTGATCAAAAATTAATTGTTTGTCTCACAAATTATCAAAAGTCAAATTGTGCAGACTTTTGGTGTTCCCCCTATGACTAATCAAGCACCAAGCTGGTCTACTGAAAATATTGGTCAAACACGAAAAGGAAACTACATTAAGCTTTAAGAAAATTTTTTTTTTTTTTCAAATGTATATTTTATACACACAGTATTAGATAATAATCAAAGCATGTATCCTGTATTACTGCCAAGTTGCTGTCTGCTTTACAACAGGTTTGCAGCACTCTGTTGAGTCTGGATTGCATTTAGATTTGTCACTGTTTTGTAATCTGTTTACATAAAAGTTGTATTTATTTTTCCCACTTGACATTTTGAGTAACTTCTATAATTACCATCAACTGCTCTTTTAAGCCTGTGTTATCAAACAACATATTGTAAGCGATAGCTTTCTCATTTGATCTGAGCATAGTTTTAAAAAAAGGGGGAGGGGGGATGTTGTAGGGGCCTGGTTTAAATTTGTTAAATTGTGGGTGGTGGGGGTATTTCTGAAAAAATTAGGGATGGAAATGTTTTTTAAAAATCGATGGGCTAAAATATAATTTGGGGGTGGGTTTTTTTCCCTTCTGAAATTGGGGGTGAGGTGTTTTTCTAAAATTGGGGGTGGGGGTGTTTCTGTTAAATTGGGGGTGGGGGTGTTTCTGTTAAATTGGGGGTGGGGGTGTTTCTGTTAAATTGGGGGTGGGGGTGTTTCTGTTAAATTGGGGGTGGGGGTGTTTCTGTAAAATTGGGGGTGGGGGTGTTTTCTGTAAAATTGGGGGTGGGGTGTTTAGGTACAATTGGGGGTGGGGGTGTTTCTGTTAAATTGGGGGTGGGGGTGTTTCGGTTAAATTGGGGGTGGGGGTGTTTCGGTTAAATTGGGGGTGGGGGTGTTTCGGTAAAATTGGGGGTGGGGGTGTTTCGGTAAAATTGGGGGTGGGGGTGTTTTGGTAAAATTGGGGGTGGGGGTGTTTCTGTTAAATTGGGGGTGGGGGCGTTTCTGTTAAATTGGGGGTGGGGGCGTTTTGGTAAAATTGAGGGTGGGGGTGTTTTCTGTTAAATTGGGGGGGGGGGGTGTTTTCTGTTAAATTGGGGGTGGGGGTGGTTCTGTTAAATTGGGGGTGGGGGTGGTTCTGTTAAATTGGGGTGGGGGGGGGGGGGGTCCATTCTCTTTTAAATTGGGGATGGTTTTTTTTTCTCTTTTAAATTGGGGATGGGGGTGTGTGTTTTTTTCTCTTTCAAATTGGGGGTGGGTGATTTTAAAAAAAATAAAGGGGAGGTGATAGGTTATTTCTTAAAAATTAGCAGTGGGGTATTTTTCCAAAACTGGGAGTGGTTTAAAAACTACCCAAAAAAAAAAGAGGGGGGGGGGATAATTCTTAAAAATCAGGGTTGCGGTTTTAAAAATATTAAAAGAGGGGGGGGGGGGGGTGAATTTCTAACAATTAGGGGTAGGGTTTTTTTTTTTTAAAATTAAAGAAAGATTTCATAGAAAAAAAAAACCAACTAAAAAAAGAATACAAAGCTTGTTGCAGTATATGTTTATTGATGCAAATAACTTTACAAATTTAAAATACTGCTTAGTTGTTTTGGCAACATATGTGTGCGTACATGCATGCTTGCGTATACGTACGAACATACACATATCTGAATAAATTACATGGATATTATCTTCTTAATTCTTGTGTTTACATGCAGGTATGTGTGCATGTGTGTTTTTTCGCACGTGTATGTGTACCTACACACATGCATGTGTAAAATGTAGCTTCCCTGCAAGTAATAAATGCATACCAAACAATATAATGCAAACTTAACACAGGCTATCTATTATTTACCTAACGTGATACCTAGCCAACATGCAAGTAATAAATGCATACCTAACTCACGTGCAAGCAATAAATACACATACTTAGTTCACATGCAAGAAATAAATACCTATATGAAACCAATGTAAACCTAACCCACGTGCAGATAATCAAATAAAACATATTTAACACCTGCGATAATCATAACATACCTACCTGCAGGTAACCAATCAAAACCTTCTGATATCACCAGACCTAGAAAACCTGCAGGTAACTAACCAAAACATACCTAGGTTATCTGATATCACCACAGACTTAAACAACCTGAAGGTAACTAACAAAAACATACCTAGCTCTCATCTGACATGACCTCAGACCTAGAAAACCTGTAGGTAACTAACCAAAAGATACCTAGCTCATCTAACATCACCACAGACCTAGAAAACCTGTAGGTAACTAACCAAAAGATACCTAGCTCATCTGACATCACCACAGACCTAGAAAACCTGTAGGTAACTAACCAAAAGATACCTAGCTCATCTGACATCACCACAGACCTAGAAAACCTGTAGGTAACTAACCAAAAGATACCTAGCTCATCTGATATCACCACAGACCTAGAAAACCTGTAGGTAACTAACCAAAAAATACCTAGCTCATCTGATACAACAGACCTACAAAACTACATGTAACAAACTAAAACATATCTAGCTCATCTGATATCACCACAGACCTAGAAAACCTGTAGGTAACTAACCAAAAAATACCTAGCTCATCTGATACAATAGACCTACAAAACTACATGTAACAAACTAAAACATACCTAGCTCATCTGATACAATAGACCTACAAAACTACATGTAACAAACTAAAACATATCTAGCTCATCTGATACACTACAGACCTAGAAAACCTGTACGTAAAAAATCAAAAGATACCTAGCTCATCTAATACCACAGACCTAGACAACTACATGTAACGAACTAAAACATAACTAGCTCATCTGATATCACCACAGATTTAGAAAACCTGCTGGTAACCAACCATAACATACCTAGCTTACTTGAAGTATGTGTGGATATTATTTATTTTGTGTGTGTGGATAAATACTGGATATTCACCAGCTAAAAAAGGTAAGTTGTTTTCCTGCTGTCCATACTAAGACCCCTGGTTGTGACTTTTTTGTTAGTCATGTGTGTTATTTCTAGTTAATATAATGCAATACGAGAGAAAGTATATAGGTTAGTCACAAATGGTTGTTAACAAAACAAAACAAAAAACCCCACTAAAGACGATAAAAACTTGAAAACCGTTCATTTTTAGATAGACAATGTCCCATTATTTTTCAACATAATGTCCACCAACATTGATGAACTTGTCCCATTGTTTTATCAGTCCTCCCAACCTGCTGTATAGAACTGCATGCTCTGTTTTCTAAAAAAAATGTTCACCTCACATTCAACTTCTGCATCATTCTTGAAATATCTCTCGCCAGTTATCTGGGTATCCTCCCTGAGCACACTTTCTTAAATTTCAACTGATCGTGCATTATGATGTATGCTGAACCACGTGAGCACCCTATTGCAGCTGCTACAGCTGAGAAAAATTTTTACCCAACAATGCACTGCTTTATGGGATAAACATTTGTCAGCATAAACAGGAAGCATTTCCTTATGAATGTTCTTTGCAGGCGGCCTCCTCCCCCCCCCCCCCCCCCCCCCCCTCGCACCAAAATTAAAAAAACCACAACAGCACGTTGTACTTTGAGAGTACACTCAGTAAGTAATTGTCATTTTGTTTGTGTTCTGCAAATGCGCAAGCAACACCTAGCGCCACCTAACAAACGGATATATAGAGTTTGATGTTGCTGTCACCTAATGACAGCTTTAGAAACCACCTGCCACCCCATAATCATTTGTGACTTACTTATTGACTTCCACTTGTATATAATAAGTAATATGGTGCCTTCAGCAGCATAGTTAAAATACATATCAATTGCCTTACTGAAAGTTGTTTATGTTCCTATCATAAGCCCAGAGTGAAGTCACATCAGGGGACCAGATACTGTAGTCAGGCCTTTTCTTCAGCTGTCCATGAGCTAGCACATGCCTGGCTCAGCAAGGGTAGTCAACACATGCCTGGCGCAGCAAGAGTAGCCAACACATGCTTGGCTCAGCAAGGGTAGCCAACACATGCCTGGCTCAGCAAGAGTAGCCAACACATGCCTGGCTCAGCAAGGGTAGCCAACACATGCTTGGCTCAGCAAGGGTAACCACCCCCATGCCTGGCTCAGCAAGGGTAGCCAACACATGCCTGGCGCAGCAAGGGTAGCCAACACATGCTTGGCTCAGCAAGGGTAGCCAACACATGCTTGGCTCAGCAAGGGTAGCCAACACATGCCTGGCTCAGCAAGGGTAGCTAGCACATGCCTGGCTCAGCAAGGGTAGCTAGCACATGCCTGGCTCAGCGAGGGTAGCCAACACATGCCTGGCGCAGCAAGGGTAGCTAGCACATGCCTGGCGCAGCAAGGGTAGCCAACACATGCTTGGCTCAGCAAGGGTAGCCAACACATGCTTGGCTCAGCAAGGGTAGCCAACACATACCTGGCTCAGCAAGGGTAACCACCCCATGCCTGGCTCAGCAAGGGTAACCACCTCATGCCTGGCTCACATTCTGGAATTTAAAAAAAAAAAAAAAACCTAGCTCACCTAGATTAACCAACACATACCTAGATTGGTAATCTAAACACTTAGAAATTCTGAAGGTAACTAACACACAATCTAACTCATAAACAAGTAATAAACACATACAAATACTGTGTATGTGTGTGTGTGGGGGGGGGGGTTGTCATATGTGAATGGGGGGGTGGGGGTATTTCTAGGTATTCTGTGTTTGGTGGTGGGTGGGGGGGGGGGCTGTCATATGCGTATGGAGGGGTATATCTGTAGGTATTCTGTGTTGGTGGGTGTGTGTGTGTGTGGGGGAGAAAAAAAAGGGATGGGGTCTTCTGCATATAAGAAAAAGTCTGTGAGTGGGAATGTGTTATGTCATATGTGTGAGAATGTCTTCTGTATGTATGAAAATGTTTTCAGTAAGTGACGCCAATGTTTTATGTTAGTAGGGAGAATGCCTTCAATGTCTGGGTACATGGACCTCAATCATGTAATATCGCCCCGGGTCTACCCCTGGGTTCTGCAATTTCACCAGTGATGTTTAATGTGTAAACAAGCAAGTTGCAGAACTTAAAGCACCAGATGTTTGAAGGATACTGACCTTTGCCGATGATATTCTTGCATATAAGCAAGGGAGTGATAGGCAACGGATAGGCCAAGAGCTTCAGGCAACTGTAGACAAAGTGACTGACGAGTGTACAGAAGTAGGGTGCTGTTATCAACTCATAAAAGGCGGCTGTTTTGTGGTGCTCTCTGGACAATAGAACTGTAAGAGCAGCTTTACAATTAATAACAGTAACATCCAAAGAGAAAGCAAACTGAGGTACCTGGGTATCAATTTCGATAGAAGCCTGTCCTTCAGGCATCATGTGGAGGCAGTTGCAGTGAAATGCCAAAAAGGACTCAATGCTCTCAGGATTATGGCAGCAATGGACATGGAACGAATGCTGTTCACAATGTTCCAGCATGTGATCCTGTTCATGATAGATTATGGTCTTGGAATATTTATCATATCAAAGAGTCCGCTGATGAAACTTTAACTCATACAGAATGAAATCATGCGGGTAATTCTGGGATGTACAAGATATACCCCGGTAGTGTGTATGCGATATATACTTGCACTGCCTACTATTGCAGATACGCTCAAAGTTCTGCAAGCAAGGTCATATCTCAGAGTAGCTGCAGACAAGAAGCACTCCTGCATGAAGCCCCACGTAGAGCTGAGGGTCACAGACTGAAAATAGGAAGGTCTTGGATGGTGCAAGCTGAAGACACAATTAGATATGTGTGCAGGCTGGATAAAATTGGGCAAGGAGAGCAGTGGGTCAAAGTGTCTCATCAAAATTCAGACGTGTAGGGTTCTGATCACACTGGGCTGTGAGCCAGCGGGCGCTGCAGAATCAGAAGTTCATCAAAATGATTCATGGTAGTTCTCACCCAGGTGATGTGATTATCTATAGAGGTGGCTCTGTAGTGAGGGGCAGACGCAGTGCATGGGGGTTCATAGCAAAGGCAAATGGATGTCGCTTAGTGCAGCAAAGTCTGGCATAAGATTACACAATGACTAGTTTGAGAATGAAGGTGGAGGCAGTCACTAATGCCTTCCGCTGGCTTGAGAATCAGCTGTACACACATGCTGTGATTGTAACTGACTCGTAGAGCATGTTGAGAAAGGGGGAAGACATTCTATGTGCAGTTATAGTCCTTTAGATATTTTCTCTATGTTATGCCATGGTGTTGGGTAACGAGCAGGCAGACAGACTGGCTAGTTCTGCACCACTTGGTGGTCAATTGATGTATGACAAGCTAGATATTGTGAGGGCCCTTTGGGAGTGAGTGAACGGTGCGGAGGCACAGATAGATCATTACAGTCTGATAACAGTGCTACGGGGAGTTACCAGAGGATCTGGCCGATGCTCAACACTCAAGAGAAGGTCAAGACGGATATACAATCAGACAGTTACAGGTGCCATCAGAATTAGAGCTCTTGGCTTGCTGCTGATGATGGGGACAGAGCGCTGATGGGAGTGTCCAGAGTGCTATGATGTTGATTCCTAATTCAACATGTCGGCTCTACTGGCAAATCCGGACGAAGAATAAACAGCCTTGGACGACTTAGTCAGAGTTATCTCCCGTCGCCGCACTCCAAACAGTGATAGGAAAAGCCACAACGAAACAAAGAAGACAGTCACGTCGACTTCAGGGCTGCCAATGCTTGGTTGTTTCCCCCAGATCTGGGTTTTTTTTTCGACGCTGCAGGACAATTCTGGGTGCGTTTTTTTTTTTTTGGGTGTGTTTTGTTTGTTCGTGTTTGCCGATTTGTATGCTTTAATAATCGATAAATTTGCGTGGTTAGGGGGGTAGGGGTTAGGGTTAGGGAGTAGGATTAGGATTAGGGTTAGCGGTAGGGTTAGGATTAGCGTTAGATTTGACAATTTTGACGCCGGAGTTCCCTATAATCGCGCACAGTCCCATACACACACACAAACAATCGAGGGCCTCTGGATGCTGGTCACACGCACAATTCGCCAACGATTGGGGGCACCAGCCTCACGCCATTGGCGTCATATTTGGCAGAGTTTCAGTGGCGCCACTCCCACAAACATCATATTGTCGGCCAGTATTTCGAAATCCTACGTCAAAATTTTCACATCTAACCCTAACCCTACCCCTAACCCTACACCTAACCCTAACCCTACCCCTAACCATACCCCTAACCCTAACCCTAACCCTAACCCTACCCCTAACCCTACCCCTAACTCTAATCCAACAACCGCATGATGATGACTACACAACCATTCACAGTGCCTCACGCAACCGTACGCAACTGTGCACGCAACCATATGATGATGCCACGATGTCTCACGCAACCGTACGCAGCCCTACACGCAACTGCAGGATGATAGGTAAGTGTGTCGTTTGTTTCGTTTGTTTTCCGATTACTGTTCGGAGTGCGGCGACGGGAGATAACTCTGACTAAGTCGTCCAAGTCTGTTTATTCTTCGTCCGGATTTGCCAGTAGAGCCAACATGTCTTCTATGTGTGCGAGAATGTCTTTTTGTGTACAGGAATTGTTAGATATTGGGGGTGGGGTTGTATGCGTGCGCGCGAATGTCTTCTGTATGTGCGTGCATGTATAAGCAAAGGTTGATAATCACGAGGATGGATACGGGATGTCGAAGACTGCCTTCAGTATGAAGATAAACGAGGCAAGCGAATTGGCAATGGAGCGAGAAGAATAATTTTGATCATTGGCAATACCTGCAGGTTCATAAATAATGTTGACGACGAAAGGTCCTGTTTTGGTTCTGAGAATCCCAATTTGCCTCTTTAGGAAGCATGTCGTAAAAGGCAGCTAATTAGGGTTTGCTGAAATGAGGATCGTTGAGCGGCTTGAGCCAAAATGCGCATATTTATATCGCAGCCTATGCCCTATCTGTAAACAACAGCCATCTTTTTAAGAGGGAACAGATAAGCAAATGATGATGATACTGAAACTGTAAAGAATGTTTTCACTTCAGTGGGATAAAAGTAATAAACGGCCCAAAATGCATATTATCTAGCTTCGCCCAGTCTGAAGACGAATGCCTATCATTGAACACCCAATTTCGATTTCGCTGTAGGGTTTCAACTAGGGGCTGCCATTGAAAGCCGCCATTTCTCTTCAGCATAGTGGCCAGCGGCTTGCTGTACTTATAGTTGCCGAGTTGTCTTAACTGGTTCAGACGTTCTCTTTGCTTGTCGGTGTTGTCTGCACATAACTTTAGCTTACCTATGAAAGATTGACACAAACAGACAAGATATCAGTTGTGAATTATACCCCCCCCCCCACCCCTAAACACTAGTGGCGATGCATGATAAATTTGCATGTGTAAGCCTTACCAGGCTAAACGAGAGGGTTATCACTTGTTCTCATCGTCACTTCTCTGTTGAGAATATGCGTGCGCAGCGAGGAATGTAGTACTAATAACTAGTAGCTTTCACACGTTACAGTTTCTGCATGTGCGGCGTAAGAATGCTGCCAGCCTCTTTCCCCCTTTCTCGTCTATATTCGTGATGTAAGCCAAGTGACATATTTATAATAAATAGTGAACAGTTACAATAACTGGTTAAAAATTATTTTTTTTAGGGGGGGTGGGGGGGGGGGGCAACGGAAAGTGTGCCAACCAAACTACTTGAGCGAGCTGCTCTCTGCCGACGATCAGTGCGTATTCTACAGTAAAAACGGAACAACTACAGGAACAAGTTAGTGCACAACACAATAGTTGTTTCATGAACAACGTAAAGATGAACACCGAAAAAAAAAAAATCATGAACATAAACAGAAAGCAGCAAAATATCAACAAAAACAATGAACGAGCATTCCCTAGCTCCAGTTTGTTCGTAAAAAAAAAAAAATAACAGTTCTAGTCACAGGCGATTTTGAATATCTTGGAAGCAGGGCTGCCAATGCTGCCCCCCCCCCCCCCCCCAGATCTGGGTTTTTATTTGACGCCTTAGGAAAATCTTTTTTTTTATATCTATCCTTATATAAAAGTGGTAAATGTTTCGTAACTATACATTTTGTACATTTTAACAATCTGGGTGGGGGGGGGGGGGGGGGGGGGTTTGGTTCTTTGTCTGTGTATTGCTTGGGTTTTTGTTTAGCGAAGCTGGGTTTTTCAAAAAAAAAAAACAAAAATCCCATTGGCAGCCCTGCTTGGAAGCATCTTCACATCAGACGGCAGACATGTCAAGTCGATAATCCAGCAAGTCAACAGTAGCTTCTTCTGCGTTCGACATCAGCCATGCTAGACATTGAGTCCCGTCTGGGGACGAAGAAGAAGAACCAGCAGTAGCAATGGAAATTAAAAGACACATCATAAACGCAATCTTTCCACCAGCTTTGTTACATGTGCCAAAAATGTACCATGCCCCACCAAAGCATTTTTCTAAAATGTGTATGCCCTCCGTGTAACATTGCTATATTATTAAGTAAAATTCTGGACGAGTCTATTTTCAACCCCCCCCCCCTATTAAACACTCAAATTGCCCCCCCCCCCCCGTGGGCCCACACGCCGGGAAACACTGGTCTAGTCGCTACACCACGGTGGTTTCCCCAGGAAAAAAGGCAGGACAAACATTAATTCACACCACAAATGACTTACCAGCTGGGCTGGCGCTAACCTTCACAGAACTACTTTTCAGGGATGAAGGCGCCACGAGAACAAGCGTTTCCGACTTATTCCACCGTTCCTTATGTTTCTGGACCGAGTGCCGCTGCTGGGACCCCCTTGTGGTTTCAGATTCTACTTTCCTGCTCGACGAGCTGGCTAGTCTATCCACGTCTAGGCCGCTTTCCACAACATATTCCTGAATCAATGGCGATAATTTACTACTGGAAAGCTTCAACGTCGGTGGCGTTTTGTCTGTGGGGGTCTCCTCAGATGCCGGCGGACTATTTATTGGCAGGTCATGTAGGAGGTTGTGATGACGATCCAGAAATTGCTTAACGGTGGTGTAGGATACATGGGGGTAAGGGCGGTGTTTTGTTCCCCGTTGAGTTCCTGGTTTCTCAGAGAACTGTATCTGTGGGGCCGTTTCTGAGACGCTGATATGAGAAGAGTGTGTAGACTGCAGTTTATCATTACATACGTCATCTTTCTCACCGCCGAGCTTGTAATTTGCTTCTCCATGTGTCTCACCTTGCTCTTTGTTTTGAGAGCTGTACATAACAATTGCGCTGCTTTCTGGGATTATGCAAAGAGTGGACCTATGTTTCTCTTGGCTTAGAGCATTGTTTGTACTGCAGGTAACTTTAGTATTATGTTTTTGTCTTATCTGGATGCCACCGTTGAATTTCTTGCAAGATATCATATTCTTCAGTCTGGCCTGGTGAAGATCTCTAAATTTTGGAGACAACGGCCTTGCGTAAGAGCGTTTAGAAAATCTAAGTCCGCCATTGGATTCCGACCATTGAGAAGGCTGGACACAAGTAATGCTATCGTTATTGTTGCTTTTGTTTAAAACGCAATCATCGCTTGCGGAAGATAGTGGCATGGCGCGAATATTTTCCATTTTGGACCGGCCTGACTTAGCGAGTATTAGGACGCATGTTCTGGTATCTAGAACGGGGCTTGTGGCTGTGTCTCTCTGGCATCTCTTGGATGGCTCACGTGCAGCTGCCAAGGTGTATACTTTTGATCTTTTGTAAGATTTCCGGCCTCTTTTGTTGGCGTTTGCGTTCTTTGCCATCCCAGCATCGGCATTCTCTTTTGGATCACATGTTCCAACATCGCAAGTAGTTTCTCGACATTGTTCAGACACATCTTCTTGGGTCACAGCAGGATAAGCAATTTTAGACGACGTATCAAGAATCAAACTGACCTTATCCTTTAAGCAGATCAGCTTTGTTGCGATAGAAGAACCAGTCTGGTAACTGGGCAGAGGTTCGGCAAATGACACACACTTGACCGGCGCATCTTGCGATGGACCTTTGCTAATTCTCTCAGCTACGACGTCATCTTCTCTTGCCACCGTATTGCTTCTCCGGAATTGTCTACGTCTTCCAGATTTAGATGCGTTCTGCTTCCGTGAAGGATCTGGACAAGAAAGAAGTAACAAAAGACGTTCAACTAGCAACGCAAATAACGAAGTTCACCAAACAATCACTCGATATATTGACAACCACTAATCTATAAGCAGCGTTCATTTGAAACCCGTTCCAACAATACGTGTGGCAGAACTAAACAACGTATTCAATTTTAAGTTAAAGTAACGTTAATCTCCCCAAATAAAGCAAGTCACTTTTCATTCACAAGTTTATTGGGCTGGTCGACTTTCCTGAAGTTTACAGGTGTGCCGCCCTATTGTTTGCTTTCTATATTGTCTCGCATTTACGTTTTCATTCCGAGAAATAGAATGCCTGTGACAAAGGTTGCAGCACTCCCAGAGGGGGGAGTGGGTGGGGTGTTAGTGCCAGTTGCTCCATGTTTTTGGAGCGTTAAAAGCACTGGTGTGCTGAAATATACAACACGCGATATCAACGGCATCGCGGAACACCCCCGTAACATGGTGCCAAGGTGACAGGTTTAGGAACTACCACTCAGAAGTGACCTAGTGTGCATATGGGCGGGGCGTGGGGGAGATTAAAGTTTCGTGTACCCACTTTTAATGAATCATGCACCATGGGTTAGTGAGAAAAGGTCACAAAAGACACAGCTAATTGTCCTCTCGAATGGCTGTCCTTGAAGACTAGAAGATTATAAATATGGACAGTAAAGACTTCTGCTTCTTCTTCTTTACTTCCTAATTCACCATTTCGGATCTCGAGGGGGATGTCATGTTCTGCTTCTTACTCCTCTGGTCACCTCGACCATAGACACATATTGTTGCTGTAGAGTTTCTCTGATGTTATCTCTTCATATTTTTCTTGGTAAACCTCGTGCTCGCCGCCCTTCTTTTTTGGTGTATGCTTTATATAGTATAGCGTCACAAGGTTTTTTCTCTAAGCCTGCAGACCATTTGTATTGTCTTTGCAAATAATTTAGAACTAGTTCTATGTAGAGCTTCCAGCCCACCCCCCCCCCCCCCCACCCAACCGTATGGCCGCTTTCCTGATTTTATCTTATCTGGTCACTCCTGCAGCATTTTTCAGACACCTTATTTCCATGGTTATTATAGTTCGTTCAACAACTCAAACACACATGCAAACCATTTTCTCGAAAACTGCCAGTTATATCGCAATGATCTATAGCACGCAGCCTTAGAATATATATGACGTTAAGGAAATATTCAATATTTAATTTTATTATCGCTACAGAAAAAATACAGTGAGCTATAAACGGTGCATCCTTTCTCGAAAGCTGAAACATTTTGGTCATGCCCCACAACGGATTGGAAAAAATTAAAGCAGAAGGCATGGTACCAGGAAGGAGGAGCACAGGAAATAAGTGACTCCTTGAAAGTTCATGAGGCGGGAGAACTGGCGAGAGACCGAGTTTCTTTCAGGCAAACTGTGATGAGAGAAACGTTCTGCAAAGGACCTGCTACATGATGATGATAAACGGACTGATCAAACGGTATTCGACCAAGAAACGCTATTCAATAGTACGATTTGTCAGTGGTCGAGACAGTCAGACGAGCAAGAAGGAAATCCGTATTTCCCTCAACACCCAAAGTGGTAAAATAGGGTGATAATAACATCTTAAGCTGAAAACGGGGCATCTCACTCATATTTTTAGCTAAAAACAGAACAGGACATGCCAAGCAAGTCAGTTTAACCCCACTTACCTTTTTATAGGTCAACAGACTGAAAGAGTTAATTATTGGCAGTAGCAGTGAGGCCAAGAAATGAAAGAACCGGTACTACTCACAAAAGACACCCCATCACGTCAGTCGCGAGATTTCGAATTGGTTCCCATGGGCTATCATATGTTCAAGAAGTGTTATGAGATGTCTTCCTTCGCAGTCTATACACACCGTGCCAAAAACTGCCTCAGGTTCGTTCGATGCAGTCGACACACAGTCTCCCAGTCGAAAATGCGCATTCTTTTTCACAGCTCTCTTTTCTGTGAACGACTGTTGTTTCTTGATGTGTTGTTGCAAGTAGGTCCCTGGCGCCGAAGGCGCCTGTGTAGCAGTAAGAAGTACTGCAAGGGAAAACGCCGAAGGCGCGACCGTTAGTGACCATTAAATCATTGATGTTTTTCTATTTCCATGCTCCTTGGCTGTCATAGGTGGTGGATGTGCTTGAAAATGTTTAAAACGAGGAACCCATAAAACCTCTAGACCATAGGAGTGTCGCGGGAAATCTCCAACGAAATCTCACGGCGGACGAGATGGGGCGATTTTCGTAAGTTGTGAAAAAGAAACAATATTATGTTTAACTGCACTGAAAAACTAAATATGCTACAATGAAACTCCCCATATCCACATCTCAAGCATTAGAAGTATATTTTCTAGTGTATGTTCGATTCTTGGGCGATTCCTAGATTTTTTTATAAAACGGCACAAATTGTGTTTTTACGGAGCACCACGGCTGGGACGCACGTACGCGCGCATGCGCACATACACACGCGCGCGCACACACACAAAGGACGTAGGGTCACCCTAGATACAAGAGTAAAGAGGTGAAGAAAAAGATAAAGTTGGTAAAAATAATGAAAATCTGTTACACTTACTTTGAGCTGACTTAACATGGCGGGCACAGACAGTTGACTTCGCCTCATCTAGAGCATGCAGATCCACAGGTCGGAGATAGCAGTTCTGTCGCCAGCAGAGGATCGCCCAGTCGCTCTTTAAGTGGCTCCGTTTGCTAGTTCTGATCTTCCCGCCCGCGGGCTGCTGTTCCAGGGGTGTCGTGGGCTTCCAGTTGGAGGTGAAATCTTGGTGATCGTTGAAGCAACCACTGATGTGCTGGGAATGACGCGATGGCTGCACCATTGACTGGCTGTTAGAAATATCACATGATATGAGTCAGATGCTAACTTCTTTATGTATACTTGGCCTGTTGTTGGTCAAGTGTATAACTGGAGTAGGAAGTTAAAAAAAAAAAAAAAACCAGCATGATTTCTGTGACAGGGTGTTCACAGTCAGACAAATCGAGTACTGACCCCTGAATAGACTGCAGCTGTCGACGGCCTTATAGAGTAAAACTCCACTTTGCTGGACTTAATACAGTCTTGGTTCATCGTTCTGGACTCTTATTCGCCGATTAATGTCTATAGGTCTCAACCCCCTCCCCCACCCCCCACTGATTATTAAAAAAAGGTAACAGAACGCTACTCCTCTTTGTGCATGGCACCTACTGTAGTTGTGACGTCATTTTGATGTGACGTGTTTAACACTTTTGACATCCTTAACAACAATATTTACATGTTACAAGGCACTGGTATGGTTATTGTAATTTCTATCACTCATTTAATATGTTAGTTTTAAGCCCCTCATCCAACATCTAGTTTCAAAATGGAGCTAGAGATAGTCACTGCTTCTCATGTGATGTGTTTATCTGTACTGATGGCTCCGTATCGAGAGACAGAAGTTTATGGAAGCTAATAGCAAAACCGAATGGACGACCTTTAAAGCAACAGTCTATAGTACCACAACAGATAATTTGAAATGGAGGTGGAGGCAGTCACTGCAGCTGTCCGCTGACCTGAGAATCAGCCGCACACACATGTCGTGACTGTAACAGACTCACAAAGATTGCTAAGAAAGGTCGAGACAGCTACCCTCCGTGGTCGTTCGCTGTTTTACACAGCGATTGATATGCTGATGAACTGACTCACTGGACTTCGTGTGGTGGTGATTCATTCTTTAGATAATTTATGTTAAATGTCTATTTCCATTTTTATACTAGCACGATGGTTCTGACGGCAGGTTGCTGTCCTTGTTAGATAAGTGATAAACTCTCCCCTCTCTTTCTCTCTCTCTTTCTTTCTCTCTCTCTCTCTCTCTCTCTCTCTCTCTCTCTCTCTCTCTCTCTCTCTCTCTCTCTGCTATCTAGAGTGGATAAAACATCTCCTGTTAGGAAACGTTGTTGATGTATTATTGTTGGCGAAGCATGCAAGTTTTGTTTTGAGTAAAATAAACATATGTTGAATGTTATTATTATATTCCATTTGTTTGATTCGGGAGCCGCCGTGGTCTAGAGGCTAGACGCTCCCCTGTGGGTCGGAAGGTCGTGGGTTCGGGTCCTGACGGGGTCAAAACTTTTTTTCAAAAAATAACCTGGGCGTCAGGTCGACCCAGCCTTGAGTGGGTACCAGGTACAGTCCTGGAAGGTAAAGACAGCTGGCATAATTCTGACCGCATCCCCCATCAAGTGCCGTTTGGTCAATAAAATATAAGTCTTTTAAATATCCAGTATGTCTGAATGGCGTGGAAAATCTTTTACTTTTTATTTGTTTAATTCAGGATGGAACTTGTAGTTCGTGCACGTTGTCTGACTAGGTGCCAACTATGTAGTTATGTGTTGTCGTGTTGTTCCACTGCCCGGGGGATGAGTAATATTTCATGGTCCCTGCTCGAGAAGTCCCCTTGACTTACTTTACATATTCTGTTTTTGCAGCCTAGCGGTGAATTAGTTATTGTCCTAACCACATTTCTTTTCTCGTCTCCCTCCTCGCTTTTCCCTTTTCGCTTCCTGCTAGCTCCTTTATTTAACAAGACAGATGTGGTCAATGCACTTTGGAAGCAACTGAACAGTGGGAAAGCAGAGAAGATCACTACTGGGGTTTCCCTGCTTTCTGATGCTTTGAAGAATCCCAAAACATCTTGAATTGGCCATAACCCCAACCCACCTACATCCCACGAGAGAGTGCAACATAGGTCCCACGACTGCATGCAGTCTAGATACCACCCCATTAAACATTAGACTGTCTCGTGACCTGTGGATTTTCCCTGTTTGGGGTGGGATAGTAAGAAAGCAAAAATAATCAAACTGCTGCCGGTACCATGGGTATTGGAATTCAGCGCCGACTGCTGAAGATGAGGACTGAGTGATTTCGATAATTTCCCGATCATTGTCACATTGTTTCTTTTTCAAATCAACTCAAAGATGTATTTTGCTTTGTCTGGTTAAGTAATCCGCTAATGCTTTTTTTTTTATTACGGCTGCTGTTCGCGTTATGCATCTACTTAAAATTAAAAAAAATAATTAAAATCACGTGATGCTGAAATTGATGATCTTTAGAGAGATAAACATTTAAAAAAAAAAAAAAAGAATTATCAAATGTTATATATACTACAGAGTGCAGAGACCGGGACAATGAAAAAGCAATTAGAAAATCAATACTTAGAAAATCGAACTTAGTCGTTGAGATTTGGATATGCAGAGGAAAACGTTGCATTTCAGGAAAACAATCAGATACAGAGGTGCTGAAGATTCTTGGAGTAAAATGAGAGTTGCTGGTGGAAAGAATTTACACTCTTCTAAAAACCATATTGGACTGGAAAATTTAAGGTGAGAGAGCAAGAGGTAGATAGTTATACAAACTGGAAGACAGCGCCATGAGATGGACATAGCAGTATGAAAGATTATACATCCAGGGAGATACGATGCGGCCAGTATTCACACTATGGAGAGGGTATCCGATTGAGTTACCACCTACCTACGTGGTTGTCTGCTGCCCTTGGAGCTCAGTTTGTCACCAGCAAAGCTTCCGCCCTTGACCGGGCAGTTGGTCAACTGGATAGCCATCGAGGATTCGTGTCCAGAACCCAGCGAGGTGCGGTTGGTTTTCTTCTTCTCTTTGTTGTTGTTCTGATAGGGGACTTTGTTGCGAGTGCTGGCTAGTGGTGGCTCAAGTGTAGCCACGTTCACTGTAAGAAAAGTAGTACAATAATCATTGAATTGTCATCATCATCACCACGACCACTATCATTATCACCACCACAACATTAATCATCATTATTATTATCACCACCATCATCATTATATAACCATCACCAACATCATTATTATTACAATCAGCATCATTATCACCACTCCAAATGTAATCATCACCACCATCATCATCATTATTACCACAACAACCATTTTAATTATCATTATCATCGTCACCGCCACATCATTATCACAACCACCATTAACATTATCACTATAACGACCACTGTCAGCATCATCATTCCCCTCATTATCACCACCATCATCTTCTAGGTTTGCATTGCGTAGGATAAACATTTTATGGATGAGAGTCAAATAGCAACAAATCACATAAACCTCATTTAAACGTAGTCATACAGCAGAGTTATACTGGGGAACTACAAAATTGCTGTGAAAAAATCTCTAGTCCACTGTGGTTGAGTCTTATGTGGTGACCTAATCCTTTCCTCCAACTTTATATTGTACAAAGAGAACAGAATAAAAAGAGGGTGTGGGTATTTCAGGGGATTCATGCTTAAGCCGTTTCCTCACCCTGAAGGTCGTGGGTTTGCATCACTGACTGTGTTTTCGACTGACTGACTAGCTGACTGACTTTCTACCCCACCAGGACATCACACAAGCGATAAACACCCGATAACACAATGTGCCACCATGTGGGTGAGAATCACCGTGAAGATGTCCCAGAAACCGCGTTCAGCCAATTGGCCATATTTATGGCCTGGCTTTATTGCGGCCCCTGGCAAGAGTCAGCGTAGGGCTTCAAATAACGAAAGATTTCACCCTAAAAAGGATGGGAAGTGGTATCCTTCTTCTTATGTATTGTGCTTTCGACTCAGGAGTAACAGCTTGATAGGACCCCTGTTGCTGCCACCGTGCTTTCTGTGCAGCTATCTGCAGGCGGCTGTCTATTCCGCGGAGTGATACCCCGGGGTAAACAACCCGTTATGCGTTTACTTTACTCCATCCATTGTAAGCATTCCTTAAAATATTAAATGAATTTGCTTTATCCTAAACGTTAGGTTACTTTTTTCTGTCCAATGCCGTTATTAATAAAACTGGTTTTAGACCCACCATTAGGGGTGTCGACACAAAGAAAACAAGGAGAGAAAGGGGAGGTTTTTTCCCCCCTTAGTCATTACTTATTTTAGGGGTGGCGGGGGGGGGGGCCGGAGGGGGTTCATGGGGCCCAATCATTAAGTGATTATTTGTGTAAGTAATTTTTATTAGTAATACTAATAATAGAAATGTGCAATTAAAAAAAATAGTATGGTATGTATAAATCAAAACATAACAAGATAACCTCCATGCACAGTTGGAAAAGGGAAAGCTTACCCCTGACCATTGTGTCGGGGGGGGGGGGGGGGTGCAACATGCTGAAGTCTTTTTTAAAGTTAACATAATACTAATAATAATATTTATAACAATAATAATGTACTAAGTGTTAAAAAATATTAAAAATAAATGCTATGTATAAAGAATACCATAAAAAGATAACTTCTGTGTACGATTGGAAGAGATGAAGCATAGCTAGATCCTAATAATGTTTCTGGGGGGGGGGGGGGGTAATATGCCTAGGTCTCCCAAGTTTCAGTGCCCCTGCCAAGGATGTATTGGTTTCCAGTAGCAACTATTTGGATAAGTGGAGCTGAGATGACAACTGTCTGGGACTAAACAAGTCACCTATAATTCACCTGAATTGAACTTTGACTGAAACTGTGCCTCATCCAGTCTGAAAATAGCGGCAACGGTTGAGTCTGCCTGAAAATGAAAGCCGTCATGTAAAGTATTACTTGGAAATAGTATATAAAGATATTATGACACAAATTTTTAGTACCACCCGTCAGCATAGTACTTGCTGATGATGATGCTAGTGTTTGACCACAAACTGACACCCGCGCCCTATCTGACAGCCACCCCTATAATCAGTTGTACATATTTCACTACATAACATTTTTACTTCCTATCTATCCTTCTCAACGAATCAAATCAATACCCTTGTCTTCCTCTATTCTACTATATAACTATATGGCTAGTGTCACATTGCTATATTTTATTACTTTTATATATTTCTACTACATAACATATATACTTTCTAACCCCGCCACTAAGCCAATCAATACCCTAGTTTCCTTGATTCTACTATATAACCCACAAAACGGTCCCGTACTGCTCACCAACACCCCTAAAACCTTCGGATCCTTTGCTCTGTCTGCCCCACCATAGCCCCATCTAAGCTGCCAGATGATATTCATAGACCATCACTCTGACCCGTAGCTGACCCTAAGTCACATAACCCGAGCCGCCAGGTGACCTCAAACTTTAGGTGCCGCAATTGACCCCGAGCCACAACTGACCTGGTTTTTTTCTATTTCTTCGGTAGCAGCGTTTTAACAGAGGATATATAGCGCCTATGCCTTAAAAATGTGCATCGTAATGTCCATATATACTACTTATGGAATTATTTGGCAGCGCGAAGATGTGGTTTTATAGACGGATTACTCAGGACAGATAAAAATATTCATAAGGATAACTTAAACAAAACTGACTCACGAAGAGAACTGACTGTCCATGTCAAAAGGAGACAATCTGCATTCTTTGGCCTTGTCCTAAGAAGGAGAAAAGTGGAGTAAAACCTGACAGGGGGAAAGTAGGGGGGGGGGGAGGGGAGAGATGCAGAGGAAACCGAGAGGATGCTGGACAGTTTGACATGATGGCATAGAAAAACATCTGTATCAGAACTGACTGAAAATACATGAGGCAGAATGTTGTGGACAGAAATAAATACCAATGCCGCAAGACATGGACTGTTAGAAGAAGATGAAAAAAAAGTCAAAAATACTGACCAGAGACTGAAAGGGTTAATGACAATTACCTGAAATGATGGATTATCCCTAAGAACCCAGACAGCTGCGTGCAGCCGGGCGTTCTCGTCCTTGAGCCTGGCGTTCTCTATTTTTGCTTCCTCGTTGGACGAGTGGTAGACAACGCCACCGGGGAACATCAGCAGCATCAGTTGTCTAGTATCTGTTTTAAATAAAAAATCTAACAAAAAAAAATTGAACCAGACAAACAAACTAGACTGAAATTAATAAAAGCTTACAACAAAAGGGGCAAATGTAGTATTGTACTGGGCCTATTCTTGGACTATGTGAACAAATAATCATAAAGCAGACACTGAAAAGAGAAAACAAAAAATCGATTGAGGAAGCAAGGCTACCAAATAGAAACAATAGGACGAAGCTTGAAGTTCCGTAAACGATGTCGAAAGTACCGCACGGACAGAACGGAATATAGGAATCGACATCAATTCCTCTGTGATGTCTACAGTAGATGTTACTTTTCGGTGTGGAACTGTTCGGTTTAAATATTTTTGGTCGTTAACAGTTTGTTACTAGTACTGTAGCAGGTCAACTATTCGCTGGTTACTAAAGAAGGGGTCAGAGCACGTGTTGGTATGTCTTTCATTTATTCTGGTCGATAATAAAGGTTACGGCATCGGTCTTTCATAACCGCCCCCCTCCCTTCCCCCCCCCCCCCCACCAAATTGCCTCTCCTTTCAGGAGAATGTCCAGAAATGTGCCTGAAACCCAACTGTTCCGAAGCTTGGTTGATGGTAAAACCGGACTAGAAGTAAACAATTATAAAGTTCCTGCGTGAGATTCAACGCGGTAACTCTAATTCAAGGCGCGCCCGCACGCACATATACACACGCATATAAACACACTCACGCACACTCACATGCACACACACAAGTACGGTGACACACAAGTACAGTGACACACAAGTACAGTGACACCGTAAGATACGAATTTAATCCGTTCTATGACTGAGTTCGGTGTCGAGTAAATAGTATCCTGAAATTATTTTTCCTATTAAATTATTATAAATAATTTTTAATTCGTTCTAGTCCTAAAAAACTGCAACTGCCCCTGACCAAAAAAAAAAAAAAAAATTGTAGCTGCGTATCCTTTACTTTAAAGGACATTGCAACCCAATCATTTTTCGGGTGGTCTGTAAAATTATCTAGGCAATCTTGACGTCGTTTTGCTCATGTGGAGCTACTAAGCAGAAGATCGGATCACCTATGGATCTATCTGGAGTGCTGCTATGACAGTCCTCTATGAGCTCCACTGTTGACAGTCTGCTGTTTTTCTGTCACATGGTGTCACATGTCAGTTTACAGTCCACTTCCCGTTCTACTGTTCTTCTCCAGGTTTCCTTAGGTCGTCAACGTCTCCTTTTCCCCATCTTCCGACCAACAAAGAGCTTTCCTTGCCAGCGTCTATCATGGGACATTCTGCAGGCATGCCCAAGCGATTTCCACCTTCTTCCTTTGATAACATTTACCAGCGACAAACATTTTATTACAATGTCACATAGCCTACCTAAAATCATTATGAAGTCACAAATATAACCAGGAAACATTCTGAAGTAACACAAATGCAACATTACCAGGAAACATTCTGAAGTAACACAAATGTTACATAACCAGGAAACATTCTGAAGTAACACAAATTTTACATTACCAGGAAACATTCTGAAGTAACACAAATGCAACATTACCAGGAAACATTCTGAAGTAACAGAAATGTTACATTACCAGGAAACATTCTGGAGTAACACAAATGTAACATTACCAGGAAACATTCTGAAGTAACACAAATGTAACATTAAAAGGAACATTCTCAAGTAACACAAATGTAACATTATCAGGAAATGTTCTAGAGTATCACAAATGTAACATTGCTAGGAAACATTTTCAAGTAACACAAATGCAACATTACCAGAAAAGATTTTTGAAGTGATACAAATGTAACTTTACCAGGAAACATTCTGAAGTAACACAAATGTAACTTTACCAGGAAACATTCTGAAGTAACACAAATGTTACATTACCAGGAAACATTCTGAAGTAACACAAATGTAACATTAAAAGGAACATTCTCAAGTAACACAAATGTAACATTATCAGGAAATGTTCTAGAGTAACACAAATGTAACATTACCAGAAAAGATTTTTGAAGTGATACAAATGTAACTTTACCAGGAAACATTCTGAAGTAACACAAATGTAACTTTACCAGGAAACATTCTGAAGTACTCATCATCGTCCAGACTGAAGACCAGCTTGATGGCGTTCTGACAGGTCATGGTGGGGTCACTTCTGACCAAGGTCAAACAGTCCCATAGACGAAGGTTGTCCATGTACAGGCCCCGGTTCTCCTCCCAGTGCGACGCTAACCCTGGGGTGGCAGATCGTCCTCTTCGGGTGACTCGGTGTTTTTCTGCCGCGCCCATTCCCTCAGATTCAAGGAAAGACCCAAAAGCCGCTTCGCGTGGTACACTTCTGTGCGCCATGGCTGGGCATTACATTTGTTTTCCTGTGTTTAATGTTACTCCTCAATGTGGCGCCTTTGTTGTAACATTATTGTCGATTTTGTGGACATTTACACAAACATAGTTATTCCGTATATATATATATATATATATATATATATATATATATATATATATATATATATATATATATATATATATATATATATATATATATATATATATATTTATATATGGCCATGAACAATTCTGCTTCAACATTAACTGGGTGAGGAAAAAAGTAGAATCTAGAATGTAAAACTATCGTTTTCGGTTGCCTAAGCTTTCGAAGGGTAAGAAGTCAGTATTGTAGAAAGCGTTAGCAGCTAAAACCAATTTAGTTGATTGAATGGGTATGCCCGTTTTGTGATAAAAGGGAGAGGATTTTTTTTTTTTTGGGGGGGGGGGGGGAGGGGAGAGAGATAGTGAGGATGGTTGTGAATCTGTCATGACTGAACTATGTATGGCTTTAAAAGATTACGAACACAGAAAACGGTTTAGATTGCTTAAGATATTTCGCTGCGGGAGGGGGTGGTGGCGTCCTAGGCCTCTTCGTTGGGGAATGTTGAATAAAGAATCGACATCACAGCACTCAGGACACTCCCATAAGTGCTCTGTTCCCATCTTCTGCAGCAAGCAAAGAGTTCTCATTCCAATGGTACCAGTAACCGTCTGATTGTATATCCATCTCATCCTTTCCCTGAGTGTTGAGCGTCGGCCAGATCCCCTGGTAACTCCCCGCAGCGCCATTGTCTTTAGACCGTAATGATCTATCTGCACCTTCGCACTGTTCACTCGCTCCCAAAGGACCCTCACAATATACGTCATTTTACGACCAAGTGGTGCAGAGCCAGTCAGTCTATCTGCCTGCTCATTTCCCAACACACCGGCATTACCTGGAGAAAATATCCAAAGGATGCCAACTACCCAAGACCTCTGAAGTGATGCTTGCCACTCTGCATGAAGCATGCCTGTTTTCACCTGCCTCAACATGCTCTGTGAGTCAGCTACAATCACGGCATGTGTGTACAGCTGATTCTTATGCCAGCGGAAGGCGTTGTGGAAAAAGAATATACCCGCTGCCTTTTTGAACATTTTGTAAAAAAAAAAAAAAAAAAACCCCGATTAATTAAGGATTTGCTGAAGTAGGATGAAAGGTGCAGCTATTTTAGCCTTGCTGTTAACCACATCATATTGTGCTAACCGCTCTTTTAAGAGCAAATCCAACAGAAGAGAAAACTAAACCAGAGATATGACTTCTATAATCTATAAAGCCATACTGGCAATTTTTGACAATAGCAGAATAAACAATGCGATATGTTTTGTAAACATATGCGATAGCGTGTGTTTTTAACATCAGTGTTTTCAAACAATGATGAACTTAGGAGAGGCCTGGACAAGTAAGTCTACAGGTAATTTGTTAGTTCAAGTCAAAATGAACAAATCCATCACCCAAGCTCAAGACAAATGCAGAAACAGCACGACATCGAGAGAGAAGTACAGGGGCTTGTTTAGGTTTCAGTACAAAGGTAACGGACACACGAGAGTCTGGTGTATGAGGTTACAACACCAAAAAGTCATCTTACCAACACAGGGCTGGCGTTGTTAGTTGCATCCATGCCGAGGATATATTGGGGAGGGTATCCGTACACTAATGGAAAGAGTGGCATCATATGTATTGAGGTGGATCGGCAGACTAACGATAAAACCTATACAGTACGAGAATGAAAGCAGTAACAACACTGAGCTAGGCACGCAAATCTAAACTATTCCTTCCCTGCATTTCCCCGTCTGCTCCTAGATACCAGACACTAACAGCCATATTTCGGGTGTCAAAACCTGAGAAGGGGCAGATTGTGAATATCCAATTCTAAGTTAAAAAAGAGTTTTTAATAATGGACCCTATATCTTCATTCCTGGGGTAGGAGCCTGTCCTACTACCAGACGCGTCCACCAGGTGGCGGATGGTGGAAAGGCCTCTAGATATAGAGGTTAGCCACGAATATATTGAATAAGTAAGTGGCCGTGGACCCAAACAGGTGATGGTCATTGAGAGGAGGCGAGTTAGTTGGTGGAACAGCTAACTATAAAAGACCTCAAAACTCTACGACACGGCCATCGGCGGGTAAGAGGCGCCATAACCCCCCCCCCCCTCCCCCCTGCTGCCTTGCAGGGTAAGTCTCTTTAGACAAAGGCTATTGGAATCAAACCATATAAAAACCGGCGGAAGTCAAGGGGAAACCACCGCTGTACTATACCACGAAAATCATGCCTCAAAATACATATTCAGATACATACTGCAGGAGATCGCAGATTATTAAGAGGCATGATCGCCCACGCCAGTCGGCAAGGCACCTGATTATGATGATGATATCTTCATTGTGACAGAGAGGTAAAAACTGTATACACAAGAAAGTTGAGTGGTCGTAGACCATGAGTCAGACCAAGAAGACGATAGAGAGCTAACATCCAACTAGAAAGAGAGGGCCAGCCAGAGGGATGAATGGAAGCGGTTGATATCTGCAGCAATGAGCATCAAGGGCTTGGAATGCTGAAGAAGAGGAGGATATCTTCGCTGAAATCCCAAATTATCATCAGACCACACCAAAGAGTGTGTCATCTCCACAGCAGAGGTTGCCTGCAGTAGGTATAATTGCTGTATTCGCGAACTTTACGTGGTGATGTCCTAATCTCTTCCACGGTGGTACTCCTGTACCACTGTCCAAAGGTAATCGAATCAATTTTTTTTCCAAACCGCCCGCTACACACACTGAACCCTGGTACGTTGAGGATTGTGAAACAAGCTGCCGACCTCTATGCAACGAGTCGCTAATAATCCAGGACTAACAATTTACTAGATCGGAACGATAATCACTCGCATAAATCCACAATAATGTGTTCAAACATAAAACTGCCAGAGACCTTAAGTCATTTTGTAATTAAAGAAATACCCGTTTACTGCCAGCAGTTGACATAAAACATGAAGGTAAACTGTTTCTACCGACGGTGCCTTTTGGTGTTCATTTTCACTATTTCTAAAGGCTGCAAATAATGCTTCGGAAAATTAAAAACTGGTATTTTGCCTTCAGAGTGGCCTGTATAGCTTGGTAAGATCCAGATCAATAGCATTTCGAGGACATATTTGGATTTACAGATTTGGCCAGGAAATTCAGGTGTTTTGGGTAATTAGCAGGCTGATAGTTTGGCGGCTGCCGCCTCTCTAGGCGGTGAGCTACTTTATGATAAAGCGGATATGGTGAAGGCTCTCGAGGATCAAGTGAACAGTGCAACAAAAGATATGGAGCATCCAGGCATCTATATCTGGAGGAAATGTTTAATTCATCTGAGAGTGAACTGTGGGTCTGGGCGATTTTCTAGAGACGGCAGAAAAACAGGCGAATGAGGCTGCAAAGGACAGCAGGATGGGCACTCTTCGTTGGCTACTGAGACTGGGGACAGAGCAAATATGGTAATGTCCCGAGTTCGGTGACGGTAATTCCTTATTCATTCATTTAAGGGCTACAAATAGACAAATCATCATCGTACTTGTGATCTCACAGTCTCTCTCGTAATTCCCCCTGATCTCTGGGTAGTCAGATCGGACTCCCGTGTGCATTGTTGCCCACGTTTAAAATCCCTTGGCAGTTGGAAATCGAAAAAAGTAGCTTAACGGCGCAGCCGGACAAAATTTGGAGTTAAAAGTATTTCAGGGTCCTAGTCGGTGCTACAGAGCCTGTGCACTGTGCTGAGCTTCTTCAGACTCAGACTTGAGTTAGAAGAAAAACGGAGCACTTATTGGTTACTCCCGTGTGCCATGATTTGATTCGTTGTTCAAAACCAAAACCAATCTCGCAGACTATTCTTTTACTCCGTTCTGTCCTGTACAATTAGTTCCATATCGTGGATGGAATCCAGTCCAGCAGCCATGGCCTCTCTCGTCAACGTCTGTTTTAGGGTTTCTTTTGGACGTTTTGGCATCAATAATTCCTTGATTTCCCACTTCAGTGCCTGTTGGTGATTCTCTGTGTCTCTTCTCAGGATGTGTCAACTATAGCGTCATCTTCTCTGTCTTTTAACTCTTATTTACCAGTTTCCCAAAACATTTCTCCTATTTCTTCATTATACAGTTTACAGTTCCATATCTTCTTTTTCTGCATTTTATCTCTTAGTCGACATAAGCTAACAGCCAACTCACATCAAACTGTTTGTAGTTGTAGACTTGTTGGTGCTTGAATGGATTTTTAAAAAAAATCCTATTTTGTTCAGGCTTTTAAAAGCTGTCGGCCTCTGTGGCTTAGGCGTTGCGAACGAGCTTCGCAATGCCGGGGTACCGGGTTCGATCCCAGCTGCGGGCCTTGCGCTGGTTGGGACGGTGGTATCAGGAAGCAGACAGTCCAGTAAGCAATGGCAAACTAGTGGACGTAAACTGCCTAGAAAAACCTCGACGCCCCCCCCCCCCAAATAAATGCTGGCGTTTAAAAGCTGTTTATGCCTTGCCAGTTCCTTTCTTCATCCATTTATTCATTATCCTGTTATGCCATCATTTATTACAAAGAACTCGCAGTCAATCCCTCCATTCCTTTCTTTCCTGTGCAATCATTTCTGTATCATATTTTCTCATACTCTGATCTTCCTTCGCTTCAAACCTGTTTTTTTAGCTCAAGCCGGAACTCTTCTCCCACTTTTACATTGCAAAGTATTTACTATTTTTTCTTGCGCGTGTTTTTTTCTCCCCTTCTTTGCAGCTGTTTTTCATTTCAGCTTTAATGTTCCTACATATAAGATGTGTTACTCCCCACATCTGCTCTTCTTATGCTAGGACCAAACAA